ATTGGACTTCAAGGGATCCTTTCAATGCGTTTATTGGAAACTTTTCCAATCAAAACAAATTGCTGATATGCCTCATTTCCTATTATTACTTTTATTTCCTTTGATTTCTGGCGTTTACACATTTCTTTCCGGGTCCCAGAGACCTAAGGTTAGAAATGGCATCATGACACTTTCCACTGACAAAAAAAAATTACATAGATAAATCCCTACGTAAAGTGCGGGCTGTACTTGTCAGAACAATTTGTTGTATCTCTTTGAGGCATGGACTTCCAGGAATCCCTTCAATTAGTCTACTGGAGTCTTTTCCAACCAATCCTAGGGCTCCAACTACAACAGGGATTGTTGATGTTCCCATATGCCACATTTTTGAGATTTTTATTTTAAGGTCCTTGTATTTTGACAGCTTTTTGAATAACTTTTTTTGTTTGTGGTCTTTAATAACAATTATTATTATTATTATTATTATTATTATTAGGTTGGTATCGCACATAGACATAGTCAATGAAAATCCTTTTTTGAGTCATGGTGTCAAAGAGATATCTCACAATTCAAAACTTTTTAGAGAATCTCCTCAAAGTAAATTATGGCAGTTTTCTGGAGGCCCACAATCTTCATGTCATTTCTACTTCTCTCTTTTTGTTTTCTAGGTGGTGTTCCAAGTGCACCCATTACTATAAGAATTAGTTCTACATCCATATTCCATAGCTTCTTCAGCAACTAACGAGATCCTGGTATTTTTCAATATTTTCAGTTTCTTTGGAGTCCACTCTTATATTATAGTGAGCAGCAAAGTCAATAAATTGACGCTGCTTGCGATTCTCCTTCTCACTAACAATAAGGTCAAGGGTCTTCGGACATCAATGGCATATAGCTGTCTGGACCGAGAAATCCCATAAAGTAACTGTCATTTTCAGCCGCTGCTTCTGGCTGACGTTCGGACCACTTTTCTTTTAAACTGAAGCTGAACTTACGCCATATTTCCCTGTGGATTCTCTTACCAATCCAATCATGTCGTCGCTGATAATCTTTCTGTGCAAACTTGGAACATTCAGCGAGTAGGTGGTTAACTATTTCATCAGCTTGCTCATATATCTTACATTTGCTTTGTTCTTATGATCTGTCTCTAATGGCATTGTTTGAATTCATTCTGATGACCTGTGCTGTAACTATAACTGACTCTGTTTCACTCTTTAGAAAGCCATCTTTAACCCAACGCCTCTTAGGTCCAGCAATTGTCTCTACTGATAAAAGCTGACCATGAAGCTTCTTTTCTTTAACTTGTCGTGCCACTTCTTCTTATACTGCTTCTTCGCTGCAGTCACTGGCTCACCATTTCGCGCTTCCAAATCCCTAGCCACTCTACTTGCATCTGCAAAAAAAAATTTACAAGAAATCTTAACAAAATTCTCATGTCCCACAACAGTCAATGACACATCATCTTCAGCATTCATTAACCCTTTGCTCCTCGCCTTTCTTGGAATATAAGGCCTATCAACATAACTATTTTGGATTCAGAGCCTTATCCATCAACATATGTGGTTTTCTATCTATCTCCTCTAATTCCATATTATTCCAATGTAAGGATCCTACACTGCAGCAGAAGGGAGATTAATATGTCAAATATATAATATAATTATAAAATATATATAATAATATTATATAATTAATATATAATATATATATAATATTATATATATAATATATATAATATATATAATATATATAATATAATAATATATATAATATGATAATAATATATAGTATATAACAATAATATATAATATATATAATATAATTATAAAAATATATAATATATATATTATATAATATATTATAATTATTATATAATATATAATAATATATATAATATACAATATAATAAGATATAATATGATAATAATATATAATATATATAATATATAATAAAAATAACAATAATGTATATATATAATATAATATTTATTATGTTTAATTTAATAACTTTACTTGATTGGTATAAGAAATGTTTAATGAAAAAAATAATGTGAAATGAAGTCAAAGAGACTTAAAAGGAACTTAAAGACAAGAAAAATGTAATTTCAAATTGTATAAAAATTGTCATTGCTTACATGTTGAAAAGCGGGGCAGGAAACGCCATCCCAAAAATGTTCAACTTTCCGACATCGAGAGTTATCTGGTTTTATTGGGTAGATCACCCCAAGGACAAGTTAGCGTAAGAGTCATTAAGGAATTCATTAAACAATGGAAAATAAACAGATTTTGTACATTATTTGAACTATTGTCCTCATCTTTGCCGCCATATTTATCAAAACGTTTCGGCCGTTGTACGCTCCGGCCTTCTTCAGATGGTTGGAATTTTGAAATGAACCCTTTATTTCGCTCACTGTTCGTAGACTGTTCTAGTTCCACGTGCTATCAGATGTCAGTCATCTCCTGCTAATTTCCCTCTGTAAAGTTCTCCACTGCCTTAACCCGGTATGGAACTCACATTCTTTGGGTCTGTCACTGGATCTAACCAACGCCTTAATCCACTGTGCCATGTGTCCATGAGGACTTCTGGGTATGAATTTCTGGGTATTATAAACCTAATGTCTTCATTAACCATTTATACCAGTGCTCATATTGCAATTTTTCTGTTATCATTTCATGTTTTTACCAGAGCTCATATTGCAACTTTGCTGTTATCATTGCTTTTCTCTGGCACTCCTTATTACGGGTTCCCATATTGTATTTATTTCTATGCTTGGTCGGCTCAGGAGATTTTTGTGGCCTAGCATATGTGCTGATTCCTTAAGTTTACGAATTTTCCAATGGTGTTCCTTGTCTATGATCTCAACATGATCCCACAGAGGTCAGTGATCTCCCTTCTCTCTCCATATGTGGTCAGCCACGCCTGATTTTTCCACTTTCCCTCGTGTTACAGCTTTCTGGTGTTCTTGGCTTGCCTTTATCTGCCCTTTTGCGTACTTGTGTAGGGTCGGCGGTGAACTTTTTTGCTGTTTGATGACACCTCCCTATCATTTTAGAAATTTCTAGTGTAGATTTACCTTTTGAGTGTTCTGAGGTGATAGTTTTCTTTTTAGCATCACTTAAACTGCTTTTATGGCCCATCTTTTTACTAATTTCTTACACTTTTCTAATAATTTGGCACGCCCAAATCACCGTGCTGATACCAAATATGGCGCCAGTTTGTTTACATTGCGCATATCAGATCGAAAATTTCAGTGATTTCGCAGGTCAGTATTGCCAATATCGTGTGAAAATTTCGTGTGAATTGATTGGACGGTTTTCGAAATATTAGAAAAAAAGTTATCTCGATAATAATTTGGCACGCAGTGTATATCGAAAAAGATACATTACAACGAGTTCAAAGGCCCTGAATGTCCTGCCTAAAAAAAAACAGTTTGAAAATATAGATAAAAATAAAAGAATAAAAAACAAATAGCATAAAAAATTAAAATTAAATAAATTCAAAGAGACTTAAAATGAAATTAAAGAAAAGAAAAATATATAATGTATAAAATTTAGTATTGCTTACATGTTGAAAAGAGGACACAGAATGTCATTCTACAAATGCGCAACTTTCCGACGCCAATTATTATTATTAATTTTTAAGCATCCCCCACCCAAGCAAGGCGGGAATGCCATTAACCCGAAAGGGGTTACAGAGAGTGAGAGTAAAAGTAAAGAGGGGGGGTTGAGGAAAGGATATAGAGAAGGACGGGGATCAGGATCAAGGCATCAGAAGATGTCGATTGATATTACATTTGAATATTTAAGGATTATAGCTATCAGGGAAGCCAGTAAAAGGAAGGGAGTTCTACTGTCGGGAAGTGCGAGAGAAGAAGCTGTTGGAGTAGAAGAGGCGATTGCATTTAAGTGTTTTGATAATAAAAGGTGGAACCGAGATTCCAACCTAGTAGCACGCTTAAATTCATGCTCTTGTGTGACCAGTGATTAGAGTTGGTGCAAAAATAATGACGTAATAATGTCGTTTTTGACGTATTTTTAACGTCAAAGAACGACATTCTTACGTCATTATTTTTGCATTTCAACTCGTCTCTTGCCATTATTATTATTATTATTATTATTATTATTATTATTATTATTATTATTATATAAAATATAATATAACATACTCCACGGTGATCTAATTTGCGGTGGCAATTAAGAATATATAGTATATAATATATATATATATATATATATATATATATATATATATATATATATATATATATATATATATGTGTGTGTGTGTGTGTGTGTATGTATATATATGTATGTATATATATATATATATAGGTAGGAAACTTTAAACACGTCAATGACTCAAAGGGTGACAGATAAAATTAGCACTAGCAACAAGAGCAGAAATGTGATCGCGAGAAAAGAAAGAGAAGAGAAAAAGAAGTAACAAAGACATATTATTTTCGGCTTAATAAAAGAAAGAGAGAGGAGAAAGAAAAAGAAAGAAAGAAAGAAAGAAAGAAAGAAAGAAAGAAAGAAAGAAAGAAAGAAAGAAAGAAAGAAGCGAGAGAGAGTGAGCGAAAGAGATAGAAAGAGACAGAGTGAAAGAAAGAGAGAGACATGCAAAAGTGAAAGAAAGGGATTAAGAGAGGGAGGGAGGGAGGGAGAGAGAAAAAGAGACAGGCAGATAGCAGTTAATTACAAGAAAATATCATTGAATGTATGCGGTTAAACAAAATCATCACAAATAAATGAAAGCAATCAAAAAAGGAATGACTTAACGAGAAATCTGCAGATATTGAACAACTGCATTTGTGGCAGGCGCGCAAAAATGATGAAGAAAAGAGCAGGAAAGAAAATTTATTCGTCGACAAAACAAAAAAAAATCAATCTAAAGAAAGAACGATCATCATGAATACATTAAAAGTCTGAAAAGGTAAACTGAGTACACAAGAGAATTCTTCCTTGACAATAGAAGAGAAAAAGTACAATGCATAAAAACATGGAAGCAATCGGAATCGTAGAAACTGATGTTCAGACAACAGTATTAAATATGAAGAGAAAAAAATCAGCGGGACTCGACACGATTAATAATAGATTTAGACAATTTTCTGATTAATAATCTTTTAGGTCATTTCCTTTCAAGACGTAGATGATCATGGCTCTCCACAGATTCCTTTTGCTTTCTGTATGGTTTCTAAATCAGAATACTCTTAGACTGCCATCCATAGCTAGAGAACCAAAACAATGAATTTTTGCATGTGGTCAAATGACATTCAACAGGCATTTAGAGGTTCAAATCGAGTTTGGAGCTACTGAAGTTATCATTTATTAGTTATATAATGTATATATTCTACTTTCGTTACTAAATAGCGTTAAATCGCTTGCTCTTCGCCTCCCTCTCTCTGTGTCTCTCTATCTATCTATCTATCTATCTATCTATCTATCTATCTATCTCTGTCTGTCTGTCTGTCTGTCTCTCTCTCTCTCTCTCTCTCTCTCTCTCTTACTCTCTTACTTATCACCCTATTCTCCTCTACTCTCTACATTGATTGCTTTGGGTCACAATGCCTCCATAAAGAAAGAATCGAAGAGGATTAGATCTTGATCATGGCCAGCAGTCAGATATGACTCACATACTTTAAATGGCAAACCATCAACATTCGATGACGATGGTATTTTTTAAGTCGATGAATCAATAGGAAATAATCTCTTTTATGCTAAATAAATTCTTGAATGTGATTAAATCGCATTCAGCATACATTTAGAGGTTCAAATCGAGTTTGGAGCCACTGAAGTTATCATTTATTAGTTATTATATATATATATATATATATATATATATATATATATATATTCTACTATCGTTACTAAGTAGCGTTAAATCTTTTTATAATATATGTTCATATATTTTGAGAAGAGGAAGGACAACCTTGTCTTCATTCTTTCTTTTATTTTTTCTTCTTCACGTTCGATCGGTTCTTTTTCTGACCTTTCTCAAAATTGTTTAAATGTTTGTTTTTAGTCCGTCATATTTAAAAAAAAATGGGGGCACCTCGACGTGGGGCAAAACAAATAATGTAACAAGGTTTTTTTAATCGCTGTTACATGATGATTCATTTTCTTCTAATGACATTCTTAACGTTTGCCGCATTTCGTTTAGCTTTTGTTCTTGAATTTTTTTTAAAACGAAAGACACTTTTTAACTCTGCGTGCCTTGTTGCAATCGTCATAGCTGAATGCTGGCTTTCTTTCCGTAAAACTAACAACCTTTTTAATTGATTTTTCAGTTTCAGTCCAGGTTTCATTACAAACATGCATCTCGTCGCTATCTTGTTGCAGATGTGTCTCGTTGTCATCCTTTCCTCTTATTCCCATCATCTTTTGCACCAATACAAGCCATTAGGGGGAAATAAGTATAAGCAATTATTCAAAGTAAATTTTCTGAAAAACAGAAATTTCAAAATCAGTTACATATCACCCAAATAGTTCAAATATACACATCAAAATCATGTCCGGATAAGAGGGATTCCGGATACTAGGGATTCCGGAGACTAGGGATTCCGGATATGAGGGATTCTATTGTAATTAGTATTCGAATGAACACAGCTTGTAGCAAAATCAGAGACTTGAGTCGCAAGTTCACTATTCGTGATTAGAATGCTATTAGATTGAGCACTATAAAGTTACAAACATCTATACCTCTGTTTAGCAGATTACATTCGATAAAGTTCAACACTATGAATTTATTAAAATGATAATAACGTATCTAGAAAACTGTTCGAAAATAATTATTCGAAAAATATTTATTCGAATTGTAAATTGTTTGCATGAAAATTAATCGAAAGGACAATTATACTAAATGATAATTATTCGATGTACTTATGTTTGAAATACAAATGTAGTCTTGCTTTGAGAGAGTCAATGCTGATTTACCTAGAACTAATAACCATTGAAGGATGGCATGGGGCTTTTTTGGCAGCAAGTGTCATCCCATCATCCTACAATATGGAAATTCTTAGACGCTCTTAAAAGAGAACAGGACTTGCAAGAAATTCATATTCCAAAAGTAAGAGCAGAGTACCAGTATATCAAGAGCTCCAAGAAACACTGCGACGTAAATGAAAAACTAAAAAAATTAGTGGCATCTTTTAACGATTACTCTTCAGTAGCTTACTATTTGCGTGCAGTATCATATAATTTAAGGCTTTAAGGATATTTTCCTACTAAATTGTTTCGTTAACGATATTTGTATTTTTCGAATAATTATCATTTAGTATAACTGTCCTCTCGATTAATTTTCATTTGAACAATTTACAATTCGTATAACTGTTTTTCACCTAATCGATAAGAAAGCTTGATTTACATGGAAAAATATTCAAACAGTCCTCAACTTGTGTTCAGAACAGTTTGAATGCGGGCAGTGAACACCCGAATGCACACAGACAAAAAGAGAAGAGCGAAAAAGGTGTTGTTATCACCTGATTTAATATAGCGAGACGATGCTTAGAGGACTAAGCTTATCAGGATTTCCTATCGGTAGACTTAATGTCATCAACATAACGCTATGCCGTTGATATTGTGTTGATGACAGACGAAAAACTGAGAGAATTATCAGACAGGTTATTCGAAGAAAGCGAGAAGAAATGATTAACGTTAACTTAAACTCGTCAAGAAGAATTATCAGCAAAAGGGACATCCCAAGTAACATATCAGAGACGCTGGAATTTCACCCGATTAGCAGTGTAGTATTAAAAGAGGGAATCTGTGACACAGGAATTAGTAAAACATGACTTACAGAAACTAAGCAAATGATTAAGACAGGGAAATATTCCTCGAAACAAAGATAAGAGTGGTGAACTGCCGTGTAATGTTTAATATTCAAAATGACGATGGGTTACAATTCCATCACCAAAAATCAGAAATGTGGTTCAACAGACAAACAGAACACTGTTTAAAGAATAAGTTAAGTTTTAAGTTGAAAAGTAACTACAAATAAACTGCTGTTAACAGTCCAAAAGAGTTTGCTTTAAACTGCATAATGAGGAAAGGAGACTTGGAGAATTTAACATACACAAGGCACATCAAAGTTGAGAGAAGCAGGAGATAGCAAAGAGAAACCGGTCAATTTTAGGTAAAAATGAACAACCGAAAAACGATCAAGAATATAAAGTGAAGAAAAAATGAAAGCGTGTATTAAAAAAAGGAAAGAAAGTTGCCATAGTCACTCATGCCTTGGTGAGTGATGATGCATAGATATTAGGGTGCATCATAAGGGTGCACCATATTAGAGTGTATTAATTATTTTCTTTTTTTTTACATACCTTGACTTCAACGCTAATTTAATGCACACGTCTAAAGATTATCTGTGACTCGACTAGATTATATATATAATGTACGATGGGCAAATTGCCGCCATTTTATATATTTATTTCGCGCATGCGCGTTGTTTTTTATTTTGTCGACTGCACAGGATAATAGTGTTAGTTCGGAACCGTCTGTGAGCCAAAGAATACCATGACGCAATTCATTCCACCAGAAATTTGGAAACAGCATGCTGTACAGCTTGGCATTAATGCCGGAAGTCCCAATACGAACATTTCAGAGTGTTTGGGTGTCAATCTGAGGACATTGCAAAGGATTCGGAAATAGTTGAAGGATACATATCCAGTCAACATCATTGTGTTTGGAGCGAGGTTATGACTCCAGTCATCTTCCCAAAAAGCCTGTCTCAACGCTGAGGTCTACATCAAGTGCCTTGAGTGGGTAGTACTGCCCTGGGTCAAGAGGGTGGCTGCTGGACTCTGCATCATATCACACAAGCAAGAGAACGCAGTCACGGCTATCAGACAATGTCTGCGGCCACATCACCCCTTACATCTGGCCACCTAACCCCTGAGAGTACTACAATCCCACCCCATGATTATTATGTGTGGGGCGCAGTTGATCGAGAGACCAAAAAGATCCTTGTAACACTGAAGATGAACAGAAGTCAAGGATTATGGCAGCATTCACAAACTTAAATAAGGAGATCATCCAGAAGAGTTGCAGGAGATTCTGAAGTCGTCTGGAGGCCGTTGTTGAAGCCAAAGGCGATTTTATTGAATAAATTTACTCTTATTTTTTTATATTATTTTCGATAATTTATCCTCCAATGCACGTAATACACACACACACACACACACACACATATATATATATATATATATATAAAAGTGAACATGAAATCAACACCCAGGGCGACAGGCTGTTTCATGCTGGACGCAATTGTCAGCCTGACGATTGCGCCAAGCATGAAACAGCCTGTCGCCTCTTGAGTGTTGACTTCAATTTTCACTTTTATATTTATATTTTACATACGCTCTATTTCTAATATTGATCACTTTATCCCATAAATATAGCACACCTTACAACTATATTTCTTCATATATATATATATATATATATATATATATATATATATACCTTTCCTTTCAGATGTTATGATGACACGTGTAATTGCAGCAATTCTCAGACATTATTTTAAATTGGCTCTCAATTCCATTATGCTCGCAAAACTAAATCCGGGCTCCTATCAGTATCACTTACAATGCTTTGAAGCACAAACTAGCGGACATCCTAACTATCAGTACACGAAAACTTTCTTAAGATCTAGGATCAATAAAATATTCCATATGTAGTATACTAACATAAGTTTTAATAATGATGCAGGAGCCGTCAAGAGGTTTCAACTGGTTAAGAAAAAATAAATTCTTCATATAGAATTCAATAATAATGAAAATTGTTGAGTCGTTGCAGATCCTCGATAAAAAAACAAAAAACAAAAGCAAAAACAAAACAATTCAATGTCCAGTAATTTGAACGTATTTTTTTTTTCAGGGGAATCATTCTAAATACATATTTCCAATTCTATTGTAGTGTTCCAAATATTTTTTATTCTATGCCTTTCTCCGTCAAATGACCATAAAAGGAATTTAAGAGTAACCTAAGTGTCGATAACGGTCATAGAATGATTCCCCATTGAAAATATTTTCTCCTACATTGCATGGAGGAAATGATTAATCAAGATGCAAAACTTGTTTCTAATGATTTGCAATCAATATTTGATTCGAATTTTCGTCCTTTCTTTGTTTTCTCTTAGTACTGTTGTCATCTTTGTCAGTTTTTATCCATTCTCCATCTTAGACAATTTTCTCTATCGTTTCTGCTTCCTTTGAGGTTGGGACGCCGATTTTCCCTTTAATCAAAGCTTTACATTCAATCCCATTCTATTTTATTCTTCCTTGTGCGCGTGTGTGTGTGTGTGTGTTTTTTTTTTGTTTTTTTTTTTTTGTTTTTATTCTTCGAGATTTTCTTTTCGGTTCCATTCTGTTCAATCTCACAATTCTTTCAATTCTCCACAACCAATCCTTTCGCAGCCATTTTCCATTTCTCAATACACTACTCCCCACTCGATTCAATAATCCTCTCGATTTCGAGTTAGATTTTCTAATTTCTCTTTCAATTTTTTCCAAGTAATTCTTTAAATTCTACTCTTTGTATTCTATATATTTATACGCGTGTGTATGTATGTATTTATGTATAGTTCTTTCGTTCTTTCTTTCTTTCTTTGGCATAGTTTTTCCTTTTATTGTACTTAGAATATTATAACTTCTTTCCTTTTTTTCTTTCTCCTTTATCTATCTATCTATCTATCTATCTATCTATCTTTATGACTTTCTCTTTCTCTCTGTATCTATTCTATGTATGTCTCTAAATATGCATAGTCCTATCTTTTTTTTATGCTCATATTTATCTCCCTTGTTTTATTATTTATTCCGCATTCCATCCACATATATGTTCTTTCTTTTCTATCTATCTATCTATCTATCTATCTATCTATCTATCTATCTATCTATCTATCTGAAATCGAAATCGCCAGAAGATACCGAAGAGTTGAAACCAAGGATGCAGAATCTACTGATCTCCAAATTCTCTCTCTGTATGCATATATATATATATATATATATATATATATATATATATATATATGGTAAATATCTATCTATCTATCGATCTATCTATCTATCTATCTAACTATCTATCTATATATATATATATATATATATATATATATATATATATATATATATATATATATATATATGGTAAATATCTATCTATCTATCGATCTATTCATCTATCTATCTATCTATCTATCTATCTATATATATATATATATATATATATATATATATATATATATATATATATATATATATATATATATCTACCACATGCACACACACACACATATATATATATAGATAGATAGACAGATAGATAGATAGATATACCATATATATATATATATATATATATATATATATATATATATATATATATATATATATATTCATATCTGTTATTATGTCCTTTTGTTAAAATTTATCTCTTTTTCATTGACTCTTGATTTTGGTCATTTCTTATTTAGGTTGACTATTGGAAATTTACCGATAAAAAAAGTTTTTATTGTAATCTCTTAATATCAACGACCAGAAAATTTTCTCAACTAATTTTTGTTTAGTATGTATCCCAACATGGAGGTCAGAATGAGGCAGATTCTATTTAATCAATCTTCCAAACGAAAAGACCAGCCTCGCTTTGAAAATTGCATTTCGATTTTTGTTTAACTCATGTCACAAATACTTGCGCACAATTAGAAAACCGCAGTATTTCAAGCCAACCAAATTCTATGACATTTTCACTTTATCTATTTCCGCTTAAATAATTGAACAAAAAGCAGTATTCTTCATCTGATATATAAAGTGCAGTGTATGTGTGTGTGTTTGTGCGTGTGTAAGTGTCTAAGCAACTCCTCTGCTCGCACTGGTCCGATTTCAATGATTCATAGCTCATTCAAAAGCCCTTGAAATGTTAGGCGCAGGGAACGATTTTCGTTGAACTCAGATTCAGGGTTGCCATATTATGCGAGGTTGAATATTAATATATTATACTAGCCATTATCGTTGCCTTCGTGATTCAAGGGGAGTAACATATTTCCCTATTGTATCCAAAATTGCACTACACTCTTTATTATAAACTAGCTTAAAAGCTGCTCTATCGGGCGGCATTTAAGCTAGCTTCTGTGCAGGATTCTTGGTTTGGCTATCATCACAATAGCCAGGGAAGAGTAGATGCGATATTACAGAACTCAAAATTGATCGCTGCATTTAAGTATTGAATTAATGTTTAAGCTTACCTTTTAAGTGAATGAGAAATAACAAACCGTTTGAGTTTTGTGTGCAAGTACATGGTTAAGCAATAACAAAAACCAGGTTTAAAGATATATCGTATATTAAACTGTAAGTACACCAGAAGAGTATTACACGACTAGTGAGAGTGTATCGAATGAACAAGCGGTCAATCTATTTACAGTTCCCCGGAGCCTTCCCGCCTACTAATCTTATAGTAGGCGGAAGAGTCTAACATAGACTCTTTAGAGGGAGAACACCACAACACTGAGATAGATAGATAAACAGGCAGGGAGAATAAGATCGATTAATATATTATGTAAGTTAATGTTGTCATGATAGAATTAGTATTAACAAACCATTATTATAAAATTTATATATATATATATATATATATATATATATATATAGATAGATATTTATTTTATTTATAATCTATTATAATATATATATATATATATATATATATATATATATATATATATATATATATATATATCCAATGCATGTATGTGTGCATCTATGCGTGTGTGTATGTATGTGCTTGTGTGTGTGAGGAAGAGAGAAAAGTGATGTTCACATGAGAATACGACGCAATCGTAAATACATATGACAATTTGTAACACTGCTATTCTGACATTTTTCCAATTACTCAACGTGATCAGAAAATAATGCCTTCAAAATTTACTTTAGCGAGACAAATTTAGTTATCTTTTTTCTTTTTTAATATTTTGGCAACTTATATCAGATCGTCAATCTATGGCAAGAAGTCGGCAGCACTATACACAACAGGTAAAAGAAAAAAAGAAATATGATGAAAATAAATAGCCATATTAATAATAATAATATCTTTATCAATGGTAATTAATAAATCCAGGCTGATGTTAATCGTCTCTATGTGCCCAGATCCGAAGGCGGCAGAGGATTAGTTCAACTAGAACTATCGAGTAGATGATCACAACAATCGATCTTCAAAGATAACTGGAAACTACAAAAAACTATATGATGATTTGTGTCAAAAGAACATGAAAGAAATAAAATATTATTCAGTAATAAAGGAAGCCAACAAATTTAAAATAGAATTTCAAGTGGGTGAAGAAGTGTAAATAAAACCATAATACACCTACGGTAGCAGCAAAGAACCTAAAAAAGAAAAGCAAATGCATCGTACCAAATGCAGAAGCGATGAGAAGATAAGACTCTTCATAGATAATATTCTAACCGTAGCAGATATGCTAACTAGAAATTAACAGGCACACATACTGAAAAGTTCTGTTCACCCGAATTGCAGATTCTTTGAGAAATATTCCGAAACAATTGACCACTTTGTATCATCATAAGAATTTTGCAGATTCGAAATGACATTGGGCATCCTTCATTTTGGTGCAAGAAACGCGTAATTATTACTGAACATACTGTAGCGTAAGTACCAAATATAGCATAGGGTCGATTCACTAAATGTAGCAGGAACACCAAATATATAGGTACGACTACTATTTATATTAATGATTCTTCCACATACAGGATTCAAGAAATAATAACATCAACTCCAATTTGTTAACCAACAAATATATATTGAATAAAAATACAAAAGCATGAAATAAAATCGTATTCCAAATGTAGATTAAAGAGAAGGAAGTTGTTTCTCTTTGACTGCAGATTGATTGTAATCAACTGTTTGAAGAAAGTTCTCTTGTGAGATAAATGTTCCGAAATAATTGTTAGAGCAAAGTTTGCATGTGAAGAATGAATAACACCAAGAATACAATTGTTTGAAATTGTCGTGAATAAACTGGTTTGAATCAACAAAGTTCTGGTTGATTGTGCTTGGCGAAAGTTACAGAGAGAAAATGTAAGTTTGTAGTTACGAAATTCTGTGTCTACGTGTGCGTTAAAGTGTGGTGAGCAAGATCGTGGATTTGTTCTTGACGGCTGGGATCTTACTGGATCTTACTGGCAACTTGCGAAAAGTATCCCTATTTAAGGAAAAGAGGTAGGCTCCCACGGAACCGCGGGCGGGAAAACTTGATCTTACGTTAAAAATATGTGATTGGTTAAAAATTAACTAATCACTACACACGTACTAATCAGAATAGGTAAGTATGCTCAGAACCAAAAGATTCAAAGGAACGATGGCTAAATTGTCCTATACAAAGGTAGTAGTAATTTATTAGACAATCGCAGACGAATAAAATGACTTGGAGTGTATGTGGGTGTGAAAAAAGTAGCAGCCCATACAATACCATCACCTGAGTTGGAGACACAGAGCGTTAAAAATGTCTCTTTTATTTGCTATCAATGATGTTTATTCGGTACAGCCATCAATAAAAACGTGCTGTTGCCGAAAGTTAAATAACGATTTCCATTTTGTTACTAAGTTAGTCTTTTTTAACATCTCAGCTTACATCTAATTTCAGACTAATGTTATAAGTATTCATGTGATTTGATCGTCTGCTTTTAGCCATTTTTCCTCGCGGGACCGTATTTGTCTTGTTTTGATTATATTAATCGTGGTCCATACTTGTACAGAGAGCTACATCGCTACCGTCAAGTAACAAATGTTTCAAAATAAACTTTTCCTGTTTCCTAAAATTAGACAACTATAACACAACTATGATTGCACTTAAAACTTTTCTTCTCTAGATAGATAGATAGATAGATAGATAGATATGAACAGATTGAGATAGATAGATATGAACAAATTGAGATAGATAGATAGATAGATAGATAGATAGATAGATAGATAGATAGATAGATAGATAGATATGAACTGATTGAGATAGATAGATAGATAGATAGATAGATAGATAGATAGATAGATAGAGAATGAAGAATCTGAGATAGATCATGTAGACACCGAGATAATATCGCTGAGATGAAGTTATTATTGCCATATTCACAACGCTGTACGCTTCGGCCTTCTTCGTGTGATTGGAATTTAGAACCGAACCACGGGCCAAATTCAGTTAAAGGCAAAATCTGTGGCCTGGTATTGAACTCACAAGCCTCAGCGTCTTTATCCACTGGGCCATTTGTCCTTGAGAACATATGTGTGTGAATTTTTTACCTGTGCTCATACTGCAATTTTTTCTGCTATTATTATTTATTTTTACCAGAGCTTATATTACAATTTTGTTGTTATTCAATGCTTCGCTGAGAAACAGGCTGCCCCCTTCAAGTAAGACTGTAAAAACATCGTAAAACGGTAACACGAGGGGAAATAGAAAAATCAGGCTTAAATGACCACATAAGGAGGAGAAAGAGTAATCACCGCCCCCTGTGGGATGAGGTTGAAATAATACACAAAGAGCATCAATGCAAAATATGAAAACTTAAGGAATCGGCACTTAGGTTAGGCCACAAAAATCTGCTGAGTCGACTAAGCATAGAAATGAATACAATATGAGAATCAGTAATAAGGAGTGCTAGAGAAAAGCAGTGAATACCAATAAGTATTGTAACATAAATTCTGGTAAAAATGCAATAATGATGATAGAAAAAATTGCAATATGAGCACTGGTAAAAAATGTAGGCTGAGACGTTAGGTTTATATTCAGATGTCATCAAGGACACATGGCATAGTGGATAAAGACGGTGGTTAGATCCAGTAACTAGAACCCAAAAGTTGTGAGTTCAATACCATGCCACAGCAAAATTTGGAGAGTTGAGTTAAAAGGAAATAACTGAGACATCTGGAAGAGGCATGACACGTGGAACTAGAACACTATATCCCGATGGACGAAATAAAGGGTTCGATTCGAAATTCTAATCACCTGAAGAAGACCGCAGCGTACATATAGTGATGAGGATGAAGGTAACAGTCCAAATGATGCAAGTAATAGATAGATGGATTTTAAGGTTTGCTATATTTAGGGGGTGAAGAGTATCTAATATGGAAGATACTGTTTGTAGACAGTTTGGCCATAAAAACAGACAATGCAGTGCTTTTTTGCAAATACATATTTTTCAATGATTTCAGTTTTATTTACAGTTAATTAATAAAATAGAAATACTTTTAAATTTGTCTGATTTCTGTATAATTAGAGGATATATTATTATAGATTCTTAGTTTGGACAACTAAATGGATGAATTATATGTTTTTATTTATTACTTATATTATTGGCTTATGTCAGGGTCAAGTTAATATCTACCTGGCTTATGTCAGAGTGTATCCCCCCAGAAGAGTCTCTGCCGAAGAGCAGAGTCTTGTCTCGGGAAACTGACTCCGTTTTTACGTGGTCTCTAGGGAATTTTTGCCCAAGCCTACGGGTTCGGATACCCCACTTTAAAACTCGGCCTTGTGCCACATCTTGCTACGTGGGTCAGCTGGTAAATAATTATTTATATTATTACATTTACCCTGGTTTTATTATAATATATGAACACTCACAGATATTAAACATAACATATAATATATAAATAAATAAAAATAAAACAATGTACATTATCATTAACCCCACCAATACATTTCTTCTTCTTCTTCTTCTTCTCCTCCTCCTCCTCCTTCTTCTTCTTCTTCTTCTTCTTCAAATTTTAAAATTCTAAAACCTATAACAGAGCGCTTTCCCGCGTCTTGTAGAAATGTAAAATGGCATTAAATGTTATATGTACTTTAATATGTTGTTGCTATATTCGTAATAAATTTTGTTGAGTGTTGTCTGTTTGATTTCGATATAGAGGGCCTTGAGAATTTGAAGTTTTTATTCGTTATTTTAGTGGTTCAGTATATTGGGGTTGTCAATATTTTCTTGTATCTTGAAAGTGGATATGAATGTGTTTTTAGATCTTGTGTAATAGAACTTGTATCTGACAAATGAAGTTAGCGACGTCGTCATAATGTTGTAATCGTCAAGCCAACATATATACTTACGTTTTGGTAGAAATACAATCTCTCAAAGTACATTTAAACTGACATACAATGTTAGCTTCTTCCTTAACACTAGTTCACGGAGAAAAGTTACTACGTGTGATTAAGTTGGTTGTATTAAATTTAGTATAATATATAATTAGTTTTATTTTTTTACTGGGATCAGTGGGGAATATATTAGTAGTTATGAGATTTTAAGATTTTTTCATTTTGTTTATAGTTGGAATGCATTTGATTACGTAAGTTAACATGTTTAGGGTTATTTGTTCATTCTTATTTATATTAGGGTTATTTCTTCATTTTTATTTATATTAAACTTGTCTAATTTGTTCATCAATCATGTAATTAGGAAATTCAGTATTAATGAGAGTTTGCTTAATCTTTTTTTGTTTTCGTGCAGGAGTTAACTTTTGTACGGTGTATCAAATTTTCTATAATAGCTATTTTGTAATAGGGCATTTACTTTTATAGTTTAGAGTGCACGTGTATATGCTTTTGTTTTTTATATGGGAAGGTAGTAAATGCATTATTATTAGTGTCTATCTATACATCAAGAAAAGGGATTTTATTATTATTGTTAAGTTTATATATATGAAGTTAAGAACGGAATTCTTTTAAGTTTTCTTGTAGTTTATGTATTTCATCTGTGTTTTCAGCTAAAATGAGAATGTCATTTACATATCTTAGTAGATCGAAGGTTTTTAGTGGTATTAAATATCTTATTTTCAAGGTTATCCATGTAGAAGTTACTAAATGTTGGTCCCAGAATTGAACTCATGGAAACGTCATCATGTTGTACGTAGATATTATTTTGATGGTCATAGAAGAGAACCTCCCTGGTACAAATCAAAAGTAATTTTCGTTATATATTAAGTTGAGTTTTAGTGGAGGGAGAGATGATTCTTGTAAATCTTCTTTATTTTTATATGAATCGTTTTTCTAACTGGGACATTGGTAAATAAATTTTCAACATCAAGTGAGGCTGCTAATTCATTATGAGGATTTTGTGTTTTTTTTATGATCTGGATTAGTTCATGAGTTGATTTAATACTGTATTTAATAGGTATGTATGGTGTAAGGAATTGATTGATGATTTAGGTTAATTGATAAAATCGTAGATGATTTGGGATGTGATGGGACGGAGAGGTTTGTGCATTTTTATAATTTTATTTTGTCTCCAATTATTTAGGGAAGATTTAAGTTGTCCTATTCTACGTTGTTGGCAGTGATCAGTTTGTTGACTTTTAATTCCAGTTTCTTTTGGGTTTTTAAAATTTGGTTTGATAGTCGATTATTTTCTATAATTTCGAATTATAATCAAATTTATTTAATGCAACAAAGATATTGATTTTGTCCGCATTTTTTAAAATAAAATAACTATCAAAACAGAACGCATAGTTTAGCGCAGTTACAATAAGTTTGTCGTCGTAATTTACCCATGAAGATAATCTGAAAAAAGGTTGAATGAACTTGGGTTACAAACTACGCCACCTTCCCTGATGAATTTCATTTTAAATTCAACAAAGTGACTGGACAACTGGAAAGGATCGGTATAAAAAAATAAGTAGATATAATATGTCTATATTATTCAATGAAAGATGTTTGAATGAAGATATGCTGCGTAATATATATATATATATATATATATATATATATATATATATATATATATATATATATACTAGCAGCATGGCCCGGCGTTGCCCGTGCTTGATTCAAAATACGACTCATGCAGCAATCGCTATCATTTGATTTAAAATATTTTTGCCCTTCCTTGCCTTTAAAGGAGTGCCCTTTGCCGTGCTGATGTTGCTACATACCTTACTTCTTGCCTATCTCACACTGCGAATTTTTTCTAAGTTCTATACTAACATTAAATCTGTTACGAAAAAGAACTAAACAAAATGAACACAAAACGATCAGCTTTAAAAAAGGACTCGTAACTGGAAAAACTGAATAAAAAAGAATGTTAACAACAAATACGTTTTCACACCCAACCCAGTTCTGCGGAATCAAAATCAACGTTTAGCTTAAGCAAGCGAATGAGCCAATTGGAGGAAAGTGCCATGCAGATTTAAATTTTCCCCACTTCTGACGAATGCAGCTATCGATTTTTTTTGCATGTTAGTTAACATTCGTGTCAGTCAGCTGTTGGCTCTCACGCCGGCCAATAGAATCTTCCTGCCTATTCGAGGCAGCCAGCTATTGTCTCTCACTCTGGCCAGTACAAAATGGCCGCAAACTACATGAAAACCGTCGTTGAAGCATGAAAAAATCGATTATTTCCACTATGGATGGGAGTTGGGAAATGCAACGTCGGTCTTGGCCTTCCCGCTAACTTGGAGCACGTGCATGTAAATTTTGTTGCAAATCCGTCGAAAATTGCGGCCGTGCATTCTTTACGCACACACTTATATATATATATATATATATATATATATATATATATACTGGGTGTACATAAAAGTTCGTGTGTACTTTAAAAATGTATAACTTTTATTTGTATTTTGATAGAAATAATCTGTAAAAAATGTTATAAAGTTTAATGTACCTAGTTTTAAGTATAGCTAAAATAACTAATGTGATTTCAGGCATTACTGTAAATCAGTTGGCAAATGTTTTCCGTGAACTTCAAAATCGTATTACCCTTTGTATTGCTAATGATTGAGGACATGTGGAAACTGAAA